CAGTTGAAAATGGTCCGTACCAAACTTGTCCGCCTGCCTGCATAACTTGGCCACTCATTTCCTGGAATCGAGCATCCCATGCATTCGTGACTCAGTCTGCCTTTAAACTGTAAACTTCAAAAAACTCTACACCAAAGCACCGTTTCAAAGGTGCTTTGAAGTGACCTCGGACACTGAATTGACCCTAAGAGAGTTCTGGAGGAATCACTTCAATATCCTCAGTGGCATAAACCTTATAGATAAGGCTTGGCAGGGAGTGACTTCCAGGATGATGAACTCTGCTTGGAGAAAATTGTGGCCAGAATGTGTCCTCAAGAAGGATTTTGAAGGGTTTGAGGCTGACCCTGACAACCCTACACCTGTTGTAGAATCTATTGTGTCTTTGGGGAAGTCCATGGGGTTAGATGTGAGTGGCCAGGATGTGGGAGAGTTGGTGGATGCCCACAGTGAAGAGATAACCACTGAAGAGCTACAAGACCTTCAACTGGAACAGCAACAGACTGCAGCTAAGGAAATTGCTTCAGAGGAGGAGGAAGAGAGAGGGGAGAATGTGCCTTCTTCAGTGATTAACCATTTGAGGGTCGCCAGGCCCTCTCAGAGACTTGTTCTCTGGGTCGCCAAAATTTAAAAAAAAAAAAATTATTTTTTCTTGTGAAAAGATAGAGAATCTTTTCCAGATCATAATGACACCAAAAGTATGAAATTTGATGGAAAGTTTACGGAATTGTGCTCTCGTGAAGTTAGCGGTCTCGACGATGTTTACCCATCGGCGATTTTGCCCACTTTGAGCCCTATTTTCGGCCAATTCCAGTGTACTAGTCGACAAAAATCACAACTATTTCACTAGAACTCTGTTTTTTCTAGAAAGAAACCACCCATTTACCGATTTCAACTATCCAATAAAGTGGTCAGAATTTAGCAATTTTGCCAATTTCACACAAATTTCAAAAGATGCCAATTTTCCAAATAGGGTCCAAAATAAACAAGAAAGACATTCCTGGCACTAAAATAACATTTCCTCTGTTCATTAGTCATATCCCCACACCCCTCTTACATTTCTTTTGCTTTCCACTTTGAATTTTTATTCTCACAAAAAATAGAAGATTTACTGTTATGCAGACTACTGTATTAGTGTAGAAATGGTATAAATAATACCAGCGCACTTGTGAAAGAATATTAGATTCACCAGTTGACGTGTATTGAACGCGTGGCATGATTTGTTTACTTTTGAACTTTGGCAAAAATCGAACATTTCTGCTACTTTGAGCTCAATTTCAAGGTACTTTTCATTGTGAAACCAATCAAAATCATCTCAATTTCTGTAACATGTCTTCCATTCTATAAAATAAGACCAGGAAAACCAGAATACAACCATAAATACCATACGAAAATACGTACAGTGCAAAGTCGCTGTTTTAAACCAAAAACACGGTCAAATTTTTTTTTCTCTCATTACACACTGTGCTGCAGGATTTTTTTTATACTGCACACACTGACCACATAGACCCATTCTTTCATATGTAGGCCTACCAGCTTTCTCTTTCTAGATTCGAGGGCGCTAGAATTCATGCTTACTAGTACGTCAAAAACCCTGATGCGTAAGCCGTACTAGTATGGCCGAAACCCCAAAAGGGTTAAGAAAATATGTGCAAAGTGGAATGAGTTGCAAAGTTTTGTGGAGAAATATCACCCTAACAAACCCGTTGTAAGCCGTGTCTGCAACATGTTCAATGACAATGCCTTGTCCCATTTTAGGCAAGTCTTAAAGACCCCAGAAACAGACCTCTCTGGGCAGATTTTTTGTGCGAAAGGGGTACAGTGACTCTCAAGCTGCTGCTAGTGCCAGTAAAAGACAAAGAAGGGAAGTAACCCCGGATAAGGCCTCGATACCTGAATTCTTCATGGACGGATATTCCACTTCCAAACAATAACCTTTCCTCCTCCCTCTCCCCTCCTCGCCATCTTCCATACGCCAACAAGAGTCTTCAATAAAGGTAAAAGTTATGTTAAATGTTCATTTATCCATTTCATTAGTCATTTATATTTGTTTCTCAATGTTTTCTGTATATAAAACTAGTATAGCTATTCTCTATAAAATGTATTTTTTGCTAATATTTTTTTGGGTGTCTGGAACGGATTAACTCGATTTACATTATTTCTTATGGGAAATATTGCTTCAGTTTTCGTACAATTTGACTTTCATCAGACTTTTTCGAATGGATTAATCACGAAAACCAAGGTTCTACTGTATACAGGATTTGGCAGGATGATTCCAACAGGAATCATCAATCTGAAATGAATCTTTTGGCTGAGGATTGGGCACATGTCACCTATAGTCATCTGTTCCTATCCCCCCTCTTCTCTGTGTAGCTTGTGGTGTGTTGCTGACTTTAGAACACACTTTTAAAGTTTGCTGTGGCTTAGGCCTTTGTCTTAATTTTTACAATTAGGAAGGTGTCGGTAGGGATCTCATGGTACTTTAGGAGTCTACTGACATAAATACAGTGGAACCTCAGTTTCCATATGCCCTAGTTTGTATATAAAACTATAGTTATTCTCTATAAAATGTATTTTTTTTTTTTTTAATATTTTTGAGTGTCTGGAACGGATTAATTGGATTTACATTATTTCTTATGGGAAATATTAACAAAAAATACATTTTATAGAGAATAACTGTAGTTTTACATACAAACTGGGGCATACGAAAACTGAGGTTCCACTGCAATTAAATGGGATTTTTAACTGACGCTAGTTATTTTAACTTGGTATGATAGAATTTAATTGTGTTGAGCATTTACGCGCTAGATGGGAGTGAGTGGAGGCAAATGGTTTTTGGGACCTGACGAGCTGTTAGAGTGTAAGCAAGGTTAGCTGAACTTCGTTTGAGTGTGAGCAAGGTAATATTTTGTGAAGGGATTCAGGGAAACTAGTTAGCTGGACTTGAGTCCTGGAGGTAGAAGGTGCACTATCTGCACTCTACAGAAGGGGTTAGGGATATTTGCTGTTTGGAGGGGCATCTGAACTCTTGTATCTGTGCACCTCTGGCAAAACAGTGATGGTGTGAATGATGGTGAAATTGTTTCTTTAAGTCTTTGTTACTGTGTTGTATATGTTTTTTTTTTTTTGTTAAGAGTGCTGGGTGATCTACAGTCGAAGTGCTCTGAAAATATCACAACTACTGCAACAATATATGATCATTTGGTCTGTGTGTACTGGTTGCGTATTTCTTTTTGGTCGAGACTGACCAAGAAATATGGAAGTTTTACAAGTCAGTACTGTATTCAGTAATATTAAAACATACCCCTGCTCTGGGTTTTAAAAGAGTACTTTTGAAGATTTTTCCATATTCACTGGATTTCCAGAGATGTAATCCTGGGTCTCCAGTGATGTAATAATGAGGTCTCCAGTGACGTAATCTTGAGGTCTCCAGTGATGTAATCACGAGGTCTCCAGTGACGTATCACAAGTCTCCAGTGACGTAAACACGAGGTCTCCAGTGACGTAATCACGAGGTCTCCAGTGACGTAATCACGAGGTCTCCAGTGACGTAATCACGAGGTCTCCAGTGACGTAATCACGAGGTCTCCAGTGACGTAATCACGAGGTCTCCAGTGACGTAATCACGAGGTCTCCAGTGACGTAATCACGAGGTCTCCAGTGACGTAATCACGAGGTCTCCAGTGACATAATCACGAGGTCTCCAGTGACATAATCACGAGGTCTCCAGTGAGATAATCATGAGGTCTCCAGTTATGTAATCATGAGGGCTCCAGTGATGTAATAACTGGGTTTCCAGCAATGTAATCATAGGTTCTCCAGTGAAGTAATCATCGTGTGTACTAATTTCTCATTTTCCCTTTTTTTGTTCAATTTCTATACTAATGGAAACATCAGTTGTCCTTTATCAAATTTCTACCAAACAGTTACGATTTAGGTTTCTCTGTGGTAATAAGTGACAATTCTATGCTGTATTTTATGTTGATATAATCAGTGATGGAAAGAGGGAAAGTTGAGACTGTAGTTACATGATCAGGTATCTACTACTCAATTTCCTACATGTGTAGATATTTTTTAAAACTCGTTTCCACCACTGGTGGTATGTGGATATTTCACTTTGCACAGAGTATTAGTGTCAAATTTTTCCCAGTTTATTTCTCAGACACTTGTCGTCTTTTCTTCCCAATAGATATGCATCAGTGTGCTTATGTTATATAAGAGATAAGTAAGCATCAGAAAAAGTGTGTGCTTATGTCATATAAGAGATAAGTAAGCATCAGAAAAAATTTATCTTTTAAATATTTAGGTTAGAGTTGCTGAAGGACTGAAAAACTTTGAAAGAACTTGAGATGAACCGAGATGAAGCAAGATGCCTATTTCAGTGATATCAAACTAGAATTCAATATAAATTAAAAGGAAAAATAAAAAGATGAAAAATTTTACATATTCGGGAAATGGGGTGGAGGTGTAGATATCAATGACATGAAAGGAGGTCTCTGGCCTGGTGATAAATGTCTAGGTGGTGACAAAGGGAAGCCTAAATATAAATTTGGTTGTTGCAAGGGGTGTTGCTGCCTACTGTTCTGTATAGGAGATGGGCATAACTGAGAGAGACCAGGATGGCTAGAAGCATTCATGTTATAGAATGGAGTCTGTTGAGATGTAGGAGATGAAGGGCTTGAGAGATGTGGAATGAACGTGTGAGGAGACAGAATATTATATAGTGATTGATTCATGAAATGATTAAGGGTATATTGAGGTGGAAGAGACAAATGGACTGCATGTATAGGAGGAGAATGACCAATGGCATAATAATTTGTAGGAGTGGTTGGCATGAGAGATCTAAGCTGCTGTGGAACGACTGGAGGGACAATGTTAGTGACTGAGGTGTGATGAATAAGTGTATGAACATGGGTGGCACCTGAAGTGTTTGGAGGAGTTGTAGGAACCACACCGACTTCAGGAGGCGGCGTCTGAGATAAGCCAGCTTCATCTTCTCTTACCTTTCTAGGCACCTGTTTAACTTCTTTCAGCATGTCCTCCTTTAACTCCTCAAAAACTGCTTCTTCTAAAGCTCTCTGGTCATCTTCAGTCTGGTGCACTGATGTAGCAGCAGCAGGAGTAGGATTATCACAATTTTTTTCACTGTGATCTTGACCACTACCATCATAATCACTTGTCTCTTTTTTGTCCTCTGTAATTTCAGCATCAAAACCAACCACATCATCTTCTATTATCTCATCCTCATCATCTACAAAATTACAACCAAAATTAGTTGATTTTCCAGTTTTTTCTATATCTGCAATATAATCAACTGTCTTTGGACCATCCTCTACAATCTCTGTTACACAATCAGTCTTCTTTTTATCATCTGTCTTTGCCCCAGAACTAACCCTGTTTTTCTTGTCTAAAATAATCTCTGCAGTAGAGTTATCAGTCTCTCTCTCATTATTTATAGGCTTTACATTAAAACTAACTGTCTTTCTATTTTTCACTATGACTTCATTAGAAGTTTCAACTATTTCATTAGGTTTCAAAACCTCGGCACTAATATCCATTTCAACACCATTACTTGTTGGAATTTCATCATCATCACTTTCCAAGTCAACCACCTCATTATTACTTTTGGGAGGTGTGGTCTTGAATGCTTTTTCACTGACTTGGCTAGACATCAGATTTCTTCTAACACCAGCATTTACTGTAGTCACCTTGCGAAGTTCTTGTGATTTCAGCATTCCTTCTGCTTTAGGTTCTTTATCAAGCATTGCTTCATCGCTAATCTCATCTTGGCATATTGCATCCACTTCATCATTGAGTATTAGCAGCTCCCCCATCTCAGTACCACTATCAGCATGCTGTCTTATGTTTTGAAGACATGCAGCTACAGATTGGTATGGCCTTAATTTCTCTTTCCTCTTCGTGTGGAAGAGCCCAACTCTTTGATTTGTAGTGTTATCTGGAACCGTGAACCATTTTGAGCTACCTGGAAGTGACTCTGTCATGGGACTCTCATATTCTGAATGTAGAGGAGTTCTATGAAGTTCCACATTTTCCTCCATTTCATGACTGTAGTTTTGAGTAACATTACAACTTTCCCTCTTTGCTGGAGATATCGCCTGCAGACTACTCGCTGCTGTATCTCGGCCACCTGCACTTCTGCTTCCATTAGAAAGTGAATTATCAAGTGCTCCTCTATTACCTACATTTGGAGGACAAGATTGACTTTCCTTTTCTCTCATGACATCTGGACTGGGATCTCGCTGTAATGTTCTTGCATTTGGAAAAATAAGAGGAACTGTTCTGCTCTTCATTTGTATAAGATTCTGGAAGGTTTGCTTACATTCATCATTAACCTGTTTGGGACTTGTGAATACTGGAGGTGGTGATTTAAAGAGAGGACCTGTGGTAGACACTGGCAATTCCCTTGTTTTAGGTTTTGTCTGCTCCCTTCTTGAATCAACCTTGCATACTGTGATGGTTTTATTTTCATATATTCTGCGCAGAGTAGCCAACTGTTCCAAATTACTACTTTTGCCCCTATTTAGAGGACTCCTCCCAGAAATACTGTAAAGTGAAGAGTAATCAGGAGGAAGAAAAGGAGCTGAACTTTCTCGCTCCACCTCAACAACATCAGGAGTTTTCTTATGATCTGGTGTGCTATGAAAGAGAGATCCTTCTTTCCTCGACTTAATCGAAGACTGATCATCAAGATTCGGTAGGGATTTGCTTAAATTAGATACATTTTTAATGTTGTCCATAGTATTATGGTTAGGACTCTGGCCAGGGAAGCTTGATCTCAGTTCCTTCTTTCTTGACATTTTTGTGTTGGTTTCCACAATTTCAATTTCATTAGCAGACTCCATGTCTTCATTAATAGCAGAGGACACCTCTTCTTCATCATCACTAGTGAACTGTATGTGTTTTCTCTGAGTGAAATTGGAATTAAGAAGAGGCCTTTTGTTTCGAGGTCTTGAATCGGGTAAATTATGCTTCGAGTCAGAACTCGTACTAAACAGGGGAGCTTCTTCAGAGAGAATATACCCAACGGAAGAATCATCATCTTCATTTTGTTTCTTCTGAACACAACGTCCCTTATGATGTTTTCTCTTTCTCTTCTTCTTGGTTACAGGGTTGTCAAAACTGGAAAAATCTTGAGCTACTTGTGGGTCAGTCACAGAGTCTGCAGCATAATGATCATCTTGATCAGAAGATACAGTACTAAATCTAGCTTGATTATCATAGTTTCTGCTGGACTCAGAAAAATTTTCATCTGATGTTTCTTCACTCTCTAGGTTGATCACAGTGCTAGTGGAAACCACCTTCTCCTGTGAATTTTTATCTTCTTGCGATTTCTTTTTCTTTTTCTCTGTTTCATAGTATCTTGTTATTTCTTGATCATCTTCTATCGGATACCTATGTGTCTTCCTCCTATCTAACTTCTTTTCAGTGGCAGCTATCTGCTCCACTAATCTACTCTTCTTTTTTCTATTATCCTTTATCACCTCCTCTTCGCTAATTGATGGAGTTTTTTCCTTTTTCCGTTTCTTTTTCTCTTTTTCAACAACCTCCTCTACTTCATGTTCAGTTTCAACTTGACTTTCACTAGCTTTATCCTTCTTTGATTTCTTTTTATCCCTTACTTCCTCACCATGTTTTAGTGGTTCTTCTAATTTGTCAATTAACTTTTCTTTCTTCTCTCTTCCTCTTTCCCTAGTTTGTACATCATCCTCTGAATCAAGTTTCTCTTCACTCGTTTTAGTCTTCTTGTGTTTCCGGTATTCCTTCACTTCACACACATCTATTTCCAGTTCACCTGTTTTACCTCTCTTACGTTTTCTAACTTTTCTGTTGTCATCATCTTCATTCTCCACTGGCACAAGTTCTTCAGACAATCTATTTCTCTTTGTCTTTTTCTCTTCCTTAATGACATCGTGTAACTGTATTTCTTCGTTAACTTTATTTCTCTTGCTTTTTCTTTCCTTTTTCTCTCCATCACTAAGTGGAACATCTTCATGTGTCGCCTTCTTTCCCTTCTTTTTCTTTCCTTCTCCTGAACTTCCCTTCTTTGGCAATGACCTGAGTCTGGAAAGTATGACAAAAGAACAACTTATTTAAGGCTAAAAAATACATGTATAAGTAAAATATTTTATTTTAATTCTAAAGCTGATCTTGAATGAAGTTCATGAAATGGCACAACCTTAAGTAAAAAGACTACTACCATCTCCCAGTTATCTTGAAAGCCATAGTTCCCAGCTTTAACAAAATAAATAAATTGTCTACGATAATACAAACAGAATTCTTCTTCTATCAACCAAGTCTTATGATTACTCAAGATAAAAATTACGGAAATAAACTACTATTTCTAGCATTTACTTTGCTACATTCATTACTACTTCACTTCAATTTTTTTAAAACCAATATACAATCTATTAATATCTTCAGTTTATATTCTCCAGTATCCCCTGCTATGTATTTCTACAATTACTGAAAATGTTTGATAATAGTTGCTCAAGTATTTAAATGAGAAAGTTGTACTCAAGGTACAGTAAATGTGCTTACTGAGGCTTTGCTATGACCCCCTTACTACCAAAACAAGTGGCATTTTGTAGAGATTAACATACACATTACTAGATAAGACAAAATAATGTTCATCTGACTAATAAAACGAGGGAAAATATATGTGCAAGTCTCCAGCCACATTTCATTAACCAATACTTAGAGAGGGAGGTGGAGGTACGGTATTATTTCCCTGCAGACTCTTTGCTTCGGTTCAGCCAAAACCTGTGGTATTACTTTCTCCAACACAATATAAGGTGGCCCCTAATGCACAGCTCACAGAAAATAAAAGCTACAACACACAGTTCAGATATATATTGAAGAGTTCAATTACAGTAGAAAACTATGATCTCAATTATTCTTCAAGCTAAAATCACTTGGTAGCTATCTCCACAGCTCCTGGACACAGCTTGACAGTGTAACTGCCTGTGGCCCTTTTAGGGTCCATGTCATTGTTCTATGGCTTTAAAGCCAGAGTCCGTGCCAAAGAACAACATAATGAGTTCAGCTCACTCAGATAAGCTGTGAGCAGTAACACTGGGCCTCGATATGAGAGAATGTGTTTGTGCAGTAAGTGTACACCATATAAAAAGCATCCTGCAGCACACAATTCATAATGAGAAAAAATTGTGATCGTGTTTTTGGTTTAAAACAGCAGCTTTGCGGTGGTATATTTTCACGTCATTTTTATGGTTGTTTTCACAGTTCTTTGGTCTCATTTGATAATATGGAAGATATATTACAGAAATAGAGATGATTTTGATTGGTTTTAGAACTGAAAATAGCTTGAAATTGAGCTCAAAATAGCAGAATTGTTCAATTTTTGCCAATGTTCAAGAGTAAACAAATCACATCATGTGTTCAATACATGTCAATTGATAGGTCTAACACGTGTTCACGAATGCACTGATATTATTTATACAATTATTACAATATTGCACAGCAGTACATCTTCTATTTTTTAGTGACTAAAAATTCTTTGGGTGAATAAAAAATTCAAAATGAAATTCATGTGTAAAGCCTGGGAACATAACTAATGAACAGAGGAAATGTTATTTTAGTGCCAGGAATGTCTGCATTGTTTATTTTGGACCTTATTTTGAAATCTCTGTGAAATTGGTCAAATTACCAATTTCTGATCACTTTACTGGGTAGTTGAAATAGTAGACTGGGCAGTTTCTTGCACTCAATAAAATAGAAGGCATACTAGCAAAATAGCTAAGAATTTGGTTGAGTGGAACAACATCATTGGCCTTATATAGGACTCAAAGTGGGCAAAATCGCTGATGTCTAAATATCACTGACACAGCAAAATTCACGATAACACAACTTTGTCAATTTTCCATCAAATTTCATACTTTTGTTTCATTACCTTCAGAAAAAGGTTCTTTACTATTTCATAAGAAAAAATATAAAAATTTTGAAAATTCTTGGACCCTGTGGACAAGTTTCTGATTGGGGGTCTGAACCCTGAAAAGATTAATGACTAATAATGCAAGGTAAAATAAACTATTGTCAACACAAGGATTTAAAAAAAAAAAAAAATTCAGATTAATTAGTGCTAAATTAGATTTCATACAGATTTTCTGAAACATAACCAATGCTCAAATTAATGGTCTACTGCATTAGGTTTCATGCTCCATTTTTCATATGCAGCACTGTAATTATCATACTTACAATAATAATTTTTTTATAGGTATTAATTCCTTATCTTCATAAACATTTAACAGTTCCTCAAAATATTCCCTCCATCTTCCTGATACCTCTAACTCTCTATCTAATAATGCTCCTCTCTTACTTTTAACTGTCAAATCCATTCATTCCTAGGCTTTCTCAACTCATTTATCTCACTTCAAAACTTTCTTATTCTCAAAAAATTTGATGACAGCATCTCACCCCCTTTCTCATTTGTTCTCCTTTTACATTCCTTCACCACTCTCTTAACCTCTCTTTTTCTCTCTGTATATTCTTCCCATCTTGCATCACTTCTACTTTGCAAAAACCTCTCATGTGGTAACTTTTTCTCCTAACTGTTTTTCTCTACCTCATCATTCCACCAGTCACTCTTTCTCTTCAGCATCCACTTTCCTGTAACCACAAACTTCTGCTGAATACTAACACCACACTCTAAGTCTACAGTACTACCTCTACAATAACTCCTACTTAAAGATGAGTTCAGTTTTTCTGACTCAAGAGCCCCTCAACACATGCCTTTGTACATTGTAACAGATTAGAATTATGCTCTTCCTTAAAATTTACTTTAATTTTTTTTATTATCACACTGGCCGATTCCCACCAAGGCAGGGTGGCCCGAAAAAGTAAAACTTTCACCATCATTCACTCCAGCACTGTCTTGCCAGAAGGGTGCTTTACACTACAGTTTTTAAAGCACCCTTCTGGCAAGACAGTGATGGAGTGAGTGATGGTGAAAGTTTTTCTTTTTCGGGCCACCCTGCCTTGGTGGGAATCGGCCAGTGTGATGATAAAAAAAAAAAAAAAAAAATAGAATGGTATATTGTATAATGTCATTGAATAAGGCTACTTACTTAAAAACACCTGTCTCTTGCAGAACTGTGGAAGTTTCATCTGGATGAATATAAAACTCATCTTCAAACAAACCTACAGTTGGTTTTTTTGGCACTTCTCCATCTGTCAAGAGATTTTACAATTAAATTTTAAATTTGTTTGGCAAACACAATTCCAAAGTAGAGATTTCCACAAAAATATGCATGATAAAATTAGGGTGAGTTAAATAACCCACATTACTGTGACTGTTATTCTTCTTTATTCCAAGATTCCTGTATCTGCTAAGACTCCATTAATTCTAGACATACATACAGTGGTACCTCGGGATACGAACAACTCAAAACTCGAACAATTATGTAAGTGTATTTATGTAAGTGCTTTTGTAAGTGTATTTTTGGGGGTCTGAAATGGATTAATCTGATTTACATTATTCCTTACGGGAACAAATTCGTTCGGTATCGGCACTCAAACAGCCTTCTGGAACGAAAAAAAATTTGTATCCCAAGGTACAACTGTATATCTCTCAAATTTATGTACCAGTAGCAAGCGAGAAAATTTTCCTGGGAGCAAAGAAACACAACTGTACTGAATGTACAGATCTTCTGAAAATTAACAGTGAAGCTGGCAAGAAGAAAATAGATCATGTTGACTTCTTGCAGAACACTTATAAACAATGGAGTACTGCAGTAAGCCAACTGGCTCGTGCTATGTCTGACTCAGATCCAACCACTCAAAATTATGTACTGTACCTGTCCAACCTATTTTTAACCCTGAAACTGCCTCTGATCTAGGTGTGTTCAGTTTGCTTCTTACCTACTTCAGCCAAATTTCTCTTCTTTCTAACCTCATTCATTACCTGTGTAACTATAAAAAGTGTTGACTTTCACTTCTCTCCCAGAGCTCCTCTAGTCCTCTTAAGTGTCCTGATTTAGTTCTGGCTTCCAGCTATTCCTGTTTTATAATAGGATGTAGGTTGTATTGTTAGTAAGGGTGCTAAGGTATTGGTATTGGTGGATACAAGATAATTCTTATATTGGCTTAGGCCTAAAACTTCATACCAGTATCAGTGGGAACTGACTAATATTGATGGTACTGTCATCAGCCTAAAATTGAGTATTGGTATCAGCAAAAATTTTGGTATTGCCCTATCACTAATAGTGATTTCATCATCATCTCGTACATACATTTGGACATGATACATAGTTGTACAAGGAATTATATTATTATTATTATAATCAAGGGGGAAGCGCTAAACCCGGAGGATTATACAGCGCCTGGGGGGGATGTGGAAGGCATTCAGGCTTAATTCGGGGAACTGGAGCACAGATCCAATTCCCTAAATCAAGAGCCCCTCACCAACATCAAGGAACCTTCCTTGAGGGGACAAGGAATTATAGTAGTTGGGTGTACATGCCAAAAGCCTCTTGTATGCAGAGCATTATGGGCAGGCTTAAAATTAACTTAAAATTAACTAAGCAATGATAGGTTCAGTGGTATAAAGTAAAGCCATATTTCAGATGTATTGGGGTTAATCTAGGTTGCAGTGTTACCCTTACCTAGCTTAATTTTGTAACTACCCATTTAATTTGGCATTAAGTAGCTAACATGTTAAGCATGTTACCATGGGCAGGGATTAAACCCTGCCCATGGGTCTCACTGATCCCTCATACATGCAGGTGTTGTCAAGTCTGAGTGACTTGAATTGGGTCGATACTATTAATTCTACCATGGAGAATCAGCCTTTATGTGGTTATCTACCCATTAGACATGTTCATCTTTAACTACATCAACTAGTCCATCAACTATCTGCTGATTCACTTTAAGCAGCAGCATTAGTTGAACAAGTAAACTGGTCTCCTACACCTGCCCTCAGCTACACATCAGTCGGGAGCTGCACCTCTGCCTCTGTTACATGGCTACTGGCCACCAACAACTGCTGGCTAGTTACCACCATATACCAGTACCCCTCTCTACTGGACCATCTACCTGCCTGTTATTGCTCCTTAAGTGACTAGTCCGAGCTTTTGTAATACTGCATTTACATGTGATTTTCCCCATTTTACTTTTGTATGAACGTGTTATTCATGCTTCTTTAATCAATTATTTTATCTTTGTGTAATAAAGTTGCAATAATTTATGGTATAGTATATTTACCATGCTTATTTATGTATTATTCTTGGTATTCTATGATTTTATTTTCTGAACAAGGGAGTGATCCCCCCACCCCTAAAAAGTCTGTGAAAATATCTTTTCCTACCTGAAATTTGTCTCATTACTACTCTTATCAAAGAGATGAATCAGTGACACTTGTCATAACTTACAACTAGGATATAGAGGGATTTAGGTGGTTTAGAGGACAGTGAAGATTTTGTTTGGATTATTAACCTGGAAAGTTAATACCCATGACAACCTAGTCAGGCCATGTCATCAAAGTCTGGGCTTATTACTACTGGGGTCTTAATTTTCTTCCCTTGGATGCAACCTACATCAGTCAGCAGTGAATATCTTACTTTATTCAACAATTTAGTGAGTTAAATAATCCAAAACCTTATGATGCGCATTTGAGATAGCTTTAGTTGTGGATATGTAAAACAAAAAAGTAACCCAACCCAACCTAACTTAGTCCAATAATAATGATGCTTGCATAACTATTGAGGGTGACAACATATAATATTGCAAGTAGGAAGTGGTGAAGATAGTGAGTAGTTGCTTTGTTGTGGAGTTTCTAGTTTAATATCTTTATTATGCACTCCACAGTCATCCTGCCCTGTGGTGGTAGTGAAGCTGTACCAGCGACCCAACCACCCAGTGGAGTCGCTGGTTCACTATCAGTTATTGTTATTATTATTATTACTATGGCTAATATTTTCATAAATAACAATTTCCACAACAGATAAGTGTTTCCTGTGTTATAGATTTGTTTAGGTACCTACTTACTGCTAGTGAAAAGGGGCAGCTGGTGTAAGGAAACTTGCTCAACATTTCCACTCATCTGGAAATTAAACCCTGGTCCTTTAAATATGAGCTAAGACCACAGTCAACTGAGCCACTGATATTTTCAAGTTACCGGTCAGTAATTAAGTAGGTTTACATAGGTAAAGGCACACACAAGTACAATTATTACACAATCAGATATTTTTTGTACACATCAAATTCTCCCACATTTAAATTTAGTAAAACCACCATGAAGCATTAACCAAATGTAACCTAAATGTAAATTATGTTTATATCTAGTCTAAAACATAACTAAATCTGCTTCCTGGTGAACTTGTCAACGATGATTTGAAAAGCTGGAGACTTGCCCAACACCAAGTGTAAAGCTCCTAAAAAAACATACTGTATATTGATACTGTATGTTTTAATCAGAAATATGTACACATAATACTTTTATATATTACCTAATTATTATCATTATTATTATTTTTATTACTAATATCATTTGCACTATTATCTAGGAGATAGTGCCAAATCTTTAAAGGTCATGATGTACCTGGAAATGGGAAGGAATCAGATTTAATCCAAAAATGGGAGAATATATCAAATTCCTTGGATTAAGAGCCCCACCAGCACCAAGGAACTTCTTTAGTACAACTTATTTTTTCTGGCTACCATGCTTAACACTACTGAACCTGTCCTCCCATTCCTTGGATGAACCCTGAATGCCTCCCATTCCCTTAGGGGCTTTATGGCCCCTATAAGACACCTGTTGTCCTTGTTCACTCATCGGTATAAAATGGGTACCTGGGTGTTAGTTGACTGGTGTGGGTCGCATCCTGGGTACAAAACTGACCTAATTTGTCTGAAATCCTGTATAACAAGAGGCTTTCTATATAGTAGTATGTCAGTGATGTCAGCTAGGCCTGCATACCTTGTACATGTAGTAAATGAAGATATTATTATTATTATTATTATTATTACAGGTTCAGTACCCAACTTGTAGTAATGATAAACTGTCCAAGTGTCGTATGAGCCTTCAGATTATTGTACGCACATAATTTAGAAATAAGAAATTGTATTACACTGCACAGTAAGTTTATTTAGGTACTGGTACACAAGTACAATAATCATACACAGTCTAAATTACCTAGATAACCCTCCCCCACCAAAAAAAAAAGGTCGAACTGAATTATTTCCGTTGCGGTATTTATTTATTTATTTATTTATTTATTTATAATTTGAGCACACTTACAGAGGTACAAAAAAAAATACAGATAAGAGCAGCATGCCAAAGCCACTTATACTATGCATAGCATTACGGGCTGGCTTAAAATTAACTTAAGATTAACTAAGCAATGATGAAATCAGTGAAAAACATTAATGTAAACTGATTACTATAAAGCACAAATGAGTATTACAAAGACAGGTCATATGGTTGCATGCATTGCTGTACATTCAGTAGAATGGAGTATTCTGTTAGGTAGTGAATTTAAAAAATAATAAAGTTAGATTGGGTTTTAGGTTTAACATTTTATGTGATATAATTTGTGAGAAACATTTAAGATATACAATTTTATAAGGTTCAGTTATTCATTTATTTATTTTGGTTTTGGGTGAGTAAGTGATCTTTGAGAAGAGACTTGAATTTATAAACAGGTAGTGTTTCTTTTATATTAAAAAGGTAATGAATTCCAGATTTTAGGGCCTTTTATGTGCATTGAGTTTTTGCATAGCGTGAGATGGACACGAGGAATATCAAAGAGTGATCTGTGCCTTGTGTTATGGTCATGTGTTCTGTTGAGGTTGGCAAGGAGATGTTTGAGGGGAGGTTAATATCAGAGTTGAGTGTTCTATGTATGTAATAGGTGCAGTAATAAGTATGGATGTTTTGTATGGTGAGTAGGTTGAGTGTATTGAATATTGGTGGAGTGTGCTGCCTGTAGTGAGAATTTGTTATCATTCTAACTGCAGCCTTTTGTTGGGTAATTAGTGGTCTGAGATGGTTACTTGTTGTTGAGCCCCATGCAAAAAATTCCATAGGTGAGATAGGGGTAAATAGAGAGTGATATAGGGCCAGGAGGGCTGACTGTGGAGCATAGTACCGTATCTTCGATAGTATGCCTACAGTCTTGGAAATTTTCTTAGAAATTTGTTGTATATGTGTATGAAATTTGAGTCTATTATCAAGGTGGATTCCTAAGAATTTTCCCTCTGTTAGCTTTGTGATAGGTGATCCGTTTATCATTATGTTAAGAGGGACATCTGTAGCTCTGTTACCAAACTGAATGAAGTAGGTTTTGTCAATGTTTAGTGTAAGTTTGTTAGTACTCATCCAGGTAGATATTTTCTGTAATTCGGTATTTACAGTATTGGCTAGCGTGACTGGGCTCGGGTGGGAGAAGACGTATGTTGTGTCATCAGCAAATAGTGTGGGTTTGAGTAATTGAGAAGCATTTGGTAGGTCATTTATGTATAGGAGAAAGAGAAGAGATTGTTTCAATATAGGAGGCACGGATAACTCGTCGTTTACTGAGGAATCTCTCATTAGAATGAAATTAAACAACTCCCTTTACTAGCCCCAGAATCTTGACAAATTCTGACCATCTTCCCAGATCCCAGTATTCTCACCTGCATCTTCAGGCTCCAGAGAGACGTCAAATCGTCTGCAGATCTTCTTCAGCACATCCCACACTGTCTTCGACTCTTTCACATTTATTGTTATCATAGAAAATTTCCCCTCATCCTGTATAAATTCGCTTAGGTCTAACTTGACCCTCATTTTGAGGAAAAATTTGGATAAGGTTGTGGTAGGTGGGATTGTTGTGACTCCGGGTTCACCACCAAAATAGCGTCGCCTATGTTACTCAGGTTTGTGATTGGCTGCTCCTCTCACTAACTTGTTTCTTATTGGTCCATACACAGCACACGATTGACTTTTTCCCTACATCATCTATTGCTTTTCTAATGTATATTTCCCCTTCTGTTAATTTCCCTAAACTCGTGACTCATATTTCATCATATAAAAACTTTAATTTGACCAGATATTTGTTACAGTGACTGATGAAGACCGAGGCAGCAGTGTAGGGGATCAGTTATAAAAGATGTTTGACCTGTGTTACTATGGAAACAAGAGACGCGAGCTCCTGCAAATATCCAGCTGTATAGTCCTTGTGGCTTAGCGCTTCTTTTTTGATAATAATAATAAATAATAATAATGCAAATATCCATATTCTCGGTCAAAAAAAGTTGAGACACTCCTGACATAATGGTGTATACATTCACTTACTTGCCTAACAAGAAATTCCTAACATTAGAAGACCCTTCCGTGCAAAGTTTGCTTCGAAAATGGTAGGAATCCGAGCTGTCAGTTAGCATAAATGAGCAAAACCTGATACTATATTAGTGGTAGAAATACATGGCGTATGTCTCCCTAGTCATATAAGAGTTAATTAAGGTCTTTCGGTCAGTTTAGGAAATTTTCAAGGACAATGAAAGCAAGGAAGGAGTGGGGTTGTATAGTCGATGCTAAATTAGTGAGGAAAGTGGGTTCATAATGACATCCTGATGTCACAAGTGATATCACTTTTATTTATGATAAGCTGAGAGAGATTAAACTACTTGCGTTATATTTTCAACATTCTCGTTTTAAACAATGAATGGGTCAAATTTGTGAAAACCAGGATTTAAATCGACAATGTTAGGCACTTCCGTACTTTGTTACAAATGATTCGCTAACTCTTGTTAATGAATGAGTTAGAATAACATATGTTAGTGTTTTTCCAATAAATGATAGAAAAAAAATCAATGTCGTATTCAGGCCTGGAACCAAAAGGTACTAAGATAATAACCAGTTTGTTCCTCTTCCACTGCACCACAGAAAATTCAACTGGTTGTCTCACGACCATCACGTTAGGGACCCGAGCACTTCACTAAGTTGTTAATTTTGTATATTTCAAGTTTATAATGTCTGAGGATATGCGGTGAAATATTTCCAACATTCAGGTCCATGCTCGGGAGGCTGACGTGCCAGGCTTTTGCTTTCGACCAGGAGTTCAACGCTTATCAGATGGAACAGTTTCTGAAAGTAAGATTATTATATTTTATTATATTATATTATATATATATATATATATATATATATATATATATATATATATATATATATATATATATATATATATAATATATATGTCGTGCCGAATATGTAAAACTGGTCAATTAGCAAGAACTCATTTAAAATTAAGTCCTTTCTAAAGTTTACTCTTATACGTTTAAAGATATATTTTTTTCATTAATGTTGATGAAAACATTTATAATTTTGCACCAAAAGGAACTTAGAAAACTTACCTAACCTTATTATAACAAGAACAATTTATTTTAGCCTAACCCAACTAAATATATTTTAAATTTGTTTACAGTAATTTAATACTAGACAAACACAGTGAAATATATTTTTTTCATTAGGTTCAAAATGATTTTGACGAAATTATTGCATACACAAATTTTCGCTTGTTCTATATGGCAAGATGAGCGTTGCTATTTAAGCCAAGATCGCAAGTTCTGCCTATTCGGCAGAATATATATATATATATATATATATATATATATATATATATTATATATATATATATATATATTATATATATATATATATATAATATATATATATATATATTACCTGGATTTTCCAAGTGTATATAATCATGTATCTCTCCCGCCTGCGTTCCAGGGTATACAGGTTCAGGAACCTCAAGCGCTCCCAGTAATTAAGGTGTTTTATCTCCGTTATGCGCGTCGTGAAGGTTCTCTGTACATTTTCTAGGTCAGCAATTTCACCTGCCTTGAAAGATGCTGTTAGGGTGCAGCAATATTCCAGCCTAGATAGAACAAGTGACCTGAAGAGTGTCATCATGGGCTTGGCATCCCTAGTTTTGAAGGTTCTCATTATCCATCCTGTCATTTTTCTAGCAGATGCGATTGATACAATGTTATGGTCCTTGAAGGTGAGATCCTCCGACATGATCACTCCCAGGTCTTTGACGTTGGTTTTTCGCTCTATTTTGTGGCCAGAATTTGTTTTGTATTCTGATGAAGATACAATATATATATATATATATATATATATATATATATATATATATATATATATATATTATTATATATATATATATATATATATATATATACCTGGAGTTTGCCTGGAGAGAGTTCCGGGGGTCAACGCCCCGCGGCCCGGTCTGTGACCAGGCCTCCTGGTGGATCAGAGCCTGATCAACCAGGCTGTTGCTGCTGGCTGCACGCAAACCAACGTACGAGCCACAGCCCGGCTGATCCGGAACTGACTTTAGGTGCCTGTCCAGTGCCAGCTTGAAGACTGCCAGGGGTCTGTTGGTAATCCCCCTTATGTGTGCTGGGAGGCAGTTGAACAGTCTCGGGCCCCTGACACTTATTGTATGGTCTCTTAACGTGCTAGTGACACCCTGCTTTTCATTGGGGGGATGGTGCATCGTCTGCCAAGTCTTTTGCTTTCGTATTGAGTGATTTTCGTGTGCAAGTTCGGTACTAGTCCCTCTAGGATTTTCCAGGTGTATATAATCATGTATCTCTCCCTCCTGCGTTCCAGGGAATACAGGTTTAGGAACCTCAAGCGCTCCAATAATTGAGGTGTTTTATCTCCGTTATGCGCGCCGTGAAAGTTCTCTGTACATTTTCTAGGTCGGCAATTTCACCTGCCTTGAAAGGTGCTGTTAGTGTGCAGCAATATTCCAGCCTAGATAGAACAAGTGACTAAAGAGTGTCATCATGGGCTTGGCCTCCCTAGTTTTGAAGGTTCTCCATTATCCATCCTGTCATTTTTCTAGCACATGCGATTGATACAATGTTATGGTCCTTGAAGGTGAGTCCCCCGACATGATCACCCCCAGGTCTTTGACTTTGGTGTTTCGCTCTATTTTGTGGCCAGAATTTTTTTTGTACTTGATGAAGATTTAATTTCCTCATGTTTACCATATCTGAGTATTGAAATTTTCTCATCGTTGAACTTCATATTGTTTTCTGCACCCCACTGAAGATTTGGTTGATGTCTGCCTGGAGCTTTGCGTGTCTGCAATGGAAGACATGTCATGCAGATTCGGTTGTCATCTGAAAAGGGAAAGACACGGTGCTGGGGTGAATCCTTGTCTATGTCGGTTATAAGGATGGGGAAACAAGATGGGAGCGATTTATGTGCCTTGTGGAACAGAGCTTTTCACCGTAGCTGCCGGACTTTACTCTGTTGACGACTACTCTCTGTGTTCTGTTAGTGAGGAAATTATGATCCATCGACCGGACTTTTCCTGTTATTCCTTTAGCACGCATTTTGTGCGCTATTACGCCATGGTCACACTTGTCGAAGGCTTTTGCAAAGTCTGTATATTTTACATCTGCATTCTTTTTGTTTTAGTGCATTTAGGACCTTGTCGTAGTGGTCCAATAGTTGAGACAGCAGGAGCGCCCTGTTCTAAACCCATGTTGCCCTGGGTTGTGTAACTGATGGGTTTTTAGATCCCGTGGTGATCTTGCTTTTTTAGGACCCTTTCAAAGATTTTTTTTGATATGGGATGTTAGTGCTATTGGTCTGTAGTTCTTTGCTGTTGCTTTACTGCCCCCTTTGTGGAGTGGGACTATGTCTGTTGTTTTTTAGTAACTGTGGGACGACCCCCGTGTCCATGTCCCTTTCCATAGGATGGAAAAGGCTCGTGATAGGGGCTTCTTGCAGTTCTTGATAAAACAAGAGTTCCATGAGTCGGGCCCCTGGGGCTTTGTGCAGGGGGCATGTCATTTATCGCCTGTTCGAAGTCATTTGGCGTCAGGAAAAACATCGGATAGGCTTGTTTTAAATCAAATTTTGTGGCTCTCTCATAAAAAATTCATTTTGATCTTCGACTCTCAGTCTGGTTAGCGGCTTGCTAAAAACTGAGTCATATTGGGACTTGAGTAGCTCACTCATTTCCTTGCTGTCATCTGTGTAGGACCATCTTGTTTAAGTTGGGGCCCAATACTGGACGTTGTTCTCGATTTTGATTTGGCTTTAGGAGAAGAAATACTTTGGGTTTCTTTCGATTTCATTTATGGCTTTTAGTTCTTCCCGCGATTCCTGACTCCTAAAGGATTCTTTTAGCTTAAGTTCGATGCTTGCTATTTCTCTGACCAGTGTCTCCCTACGCATTTCAGATATATGACCTCTTTTAGCCGCTCTGTTATTCTTTTCCGTCCCCTGTAAAGGGAGCGCCTGTCTCTTTTGTTTACATTACTCCTCCTTTTTCTTAGAGGAATAAGCCTTGTGCATACATCGAGTGCCACCGAGTTAATCTGTTCTAGGCATAAGTTGGGTCTGTGTTGCTTAGTATATCTTCCCAGCTTATATCGGTTAGGACTTGGTTTACTTGGCCCCACTTATGTTTTTGTTATTGAAGTTGAATTTGGTGAATGCTCCCTCGTGACTAATCTCTTATGTCGGTCTTGGGCTCCGCGCATACATGACTGAACCTCAATTATGTTGTGATCTGAGTATATTGTTTTTGATAGGTGATATTTCTTATCAGATCATCATTGTTAGTGAAGATGAGGTCTAGTGATTCTCCAGTCAGTAGGCTCTATTATTTGTGGTTTAAATTGAATTTTGTGCAGAGATTTAAAAGCTCGCGTGGGGTGTGAGTTTTCATCAGAGCTGCCTCCTGGTGTTATTACTGCAACAATATTTTTTGCTATATTCCTCCATTTTAGGTGCCTTAAGTTGAAACCCCCCAGGAGCAAGATGTTGGGTGCAGGAGCTGGAAGGTTTTCCAGACAGTGGTCAATTTTTAACAGCTGTTCCTGGAATTGCTGGGATTTGCACCCGGGAGGCTTGTAGACTATCACAAGACTAGGTTTTGGTTCTCGACCTTTACTGCTAAAACTTCCACTACATCATTTGAGGATTTAGCAGTTCTGTGCAAACAAGTGACTTGCAATGTACGGGCCCAAAACCCCCCCCTTTTGCTGTTCACTCTGTACATCTGTATAGGTTGTAACCTGGGATCCATATTTCGTTGTCCAAGTGATCCTTTTGGGGTCTCAGTGAAAGCCGCGAACATTGCCTTTGCCTCTGCAAGCAGTCCACGGATAAAGGTATTTTGTTGTTTGTTGCTGGCTTTAGACCTGTATATTTGAAAAGAAGAATGTTATCGGACGGGTTTGGTGTTGTTGGTACTGGGGGGGGATTTTTTCCGGCATTAGTATCTGTATTGTTGGTTTGGAGTGGAGGCCATCGACTGTGGTTCCACTCCAGGATTGACTGGATTTGGTGTACGATTTCTGCCTTTTCCCTGCCAGTTTTTTTCTTCCTGGCACTAAAAAAACCTCTCCTCTTGAGTGGCTGTGGCTACCCAGGTTTCCATGGCCTGGATGTTTTGTATTTTTTGTCCCCTTTAGATGGTATGCCTGGCAATTTAAGTTATAGCACACTTTCCTGTATGAAGAGGTACACAGTTCAGGGTGAAAAGCTTACAGGAAGGGAGTTTGCTTTTCCTGTTGTCATATGGGCATGGCATTTCCTAGGGTGGTCATAGTTGCACGTCCATCTGTTTTTCAGATTTCCCAAAGCCAGCAGATACCGAGTGATAGTATGTGCACAGGCTTGGTTTCCGTTTGCCTTGGGTTTCTGTGACTGTTTTCCCTGTTGGTGCATGTTTCCCTGTCTTATTCTATCCTCCCTGCACCAACAATGGAGCTCCCACCAGTTGTTTTTGGTAATATATCCTCACTATTGCTAGTGGAGTCCTCTTGTTTGCTATTTCCCGCGGTATTTCTAGTTTGCAATATTGGTTTTATCTTATCTTTGACTACACTTGTTTCCCACTATGGCTCCGTCCCTATGAGGTCATTTATAAAGTATTCTTCTGCGTTAATTCCCGACTACCTGGACAAAATCTCCAGCTTCACCATTACTGTCTCCAGGACCGCATCTCCAGCTTCCCATTACTGTCTCCCAGGACAGCATCTCCCGCTTCACCATTACTGTCTCCCCGGACAGCACCCCAGCTTCACCATTACTGTCTCCCCGGA